TGTGTATAAGAGACAGCTGTTGGAATAGGACCACTGAAGAAACGTTAGAATAGGTTTAGCCCACTGTATACACTGTCTCTTATACACATCTCACCCCTCCATCAGCACCCCTATTTCAAGACTCCTAGATACACCAATGCTCAACCTTAGGATTAGTTACGGGGCAACAACCGTTACTATAAAACACTTTGTAACAGAAACTATACGTTATTTAATAAAAATATATTAAAAATACATTCACCATGGGTTGTAGGAACTTCTTTTCCATTGAAATGATGCCGTGTTATTGTCCTATCAAAATCTGACACAACCTGAAAGAAAAGCATTAGGCCTATAACTAAATCAGACAAATATATATAAAGTATAAATATCAATTACACAATATTACCCCTTAGGTCCGTGAGACAATTTTCTTATTATTGTGAAACGCATTATAGAAATACAGGACATTAACATATTATATTTAATATTAATTAATGTATAAAGGCCATGGATATACTTTTACTAATTACGTCAATAGGCCTAATTATTGAACGTAGGCTTAAAGTTGATGGAAAAACTCGGACAAACCATATTTAAATGTAAAATAGAGAATTAAATAACCTATCTAAACGTACGGTACCTGGAATTTGATGTGACCACCATTTATGAAAGCGGTAACGATTTCTTCCACTTTATCAGGATCTTTGATGTGAATATTTTCTTTTTGAAATTCTGGAGTCTAATGAGAAAAGAAAACGGTTCACATGATCTAGCATAATGTAGTCTGGAAAATGGAATACTAAAAAAGAATGACGAAATTCAACTAGTGAGTAGTATTCAACCAGTGAGTATTATGAGTAGGCCACATCTTTTTGTTTCAACAGCAATGTCTGTACGTTGTTCAAAACTTTATTATATGCTTGACAAAAGACATGTTTGCATTTTATCAATAATAAGAGTTAGGCTTACATTCAGTTGCGCTACATCAATACATTTTATGGAAAAACTGCTATTCAAAGCTAGCAAACACTTATTATTAAGACTCATCCTTAGCAGTAGGCCTGTTGTGTGGGCAGAGGCTACATGTACAACATAACCATGTAAAAATAATCACAAATGTAAAAACAATCTGCCAGCAAATGTCAAAATAACCACAAATGTCATAACATGTCAACAATAAATGGAAAAATAATCACAAATCTACAAAAAATCGCCTACAAGTGTACAAATTTCCATTTTTACCTCAAATATTATAACATGTCAACCGCAAATGTAAAAAAAAAAATCATTGCTTGCATATACCAATGTATAAAAAAATTAAATTAAAAGAAATTAAATTATATGAAATGAAATGATATGAAATGACCGATTTAGTTGTTTACTAATTCGGGTCAACTTCTATCTTCGTAAGGCTGCACTCTTTCGAAACTTTCTTTTTCGACGCACTGCTTCTTCCATTTTTCATGCTTTTGTCTCATCCCGTCTTGAAGACTGCAATTATCTTTTTTACGCACTTCCTAAATCTCAACTTTACAGCACATACTCCCAAGGCTTCAAAGCTCTGCTGCACAAAATGTTAACATTCACAAAACGTCGATCTCATATCACCCCTGTTCTCCGAGACCTTTTCATTGGCTTCCCATTAATTCCCGCATTAAGTACACAATCTTGTTACTGTACTTATTTTTTAAGGCATTTCTGTTTAAGCAACCTATCTATATTCATCAGCTTACCCACATTTACGTTCCTGGACGCATTCTAAGCTCTCCGTTCCCCATACATCCATAAAAAACTATTGGGTACATCTTTTTCTTTGCTGCACACACACTTTGGAATTCACGCCTTGCACACATTATCAAATAGGCTCCCAGTCGTGTTACAGTATTGTGTTTACAAACAAGTCTCCACGTGGGATTCGGTTATCAGGGAATATGTGGTGTGTATTTTTTTTAATGACTTTTGTACGGTAACAGGTAGGCCTACTTAAGATGGCACATGACCCATCATGCACCTCCACCGGATTTACCATTTCAGCCATCTTTAACTGCCAGATGGTAACATAGTGTCCTTGCCCCAACAACGGGGAATAGACACAAAAGTGCTTCATTTAAAAAATTACTTAAAACTTACTTTTCCATCAATAACGTGCACAATGCATTTGTTAATGCACCACGGTCGTTTAATTGATTATTAGTATTATTATTCTTTTTATTATTATTAAATGATATGAAATAATATGAAATGATATGAAATGATGTGAAATGCCTTGTAATTACCTTCTCAAGGCAAAAAAATAATTTAATATGCCATAAATCTGTCACTATTTTGATTTTGTACTGTATTTTGTTAGTTCCATGACAAATTGCATTCAGCTTTTGTTTTCTTTTTGTCCAAATAATGGCAGCGAAAAACCATTGGCACATTTGACTATGTATGGGATGATAAAATGGAACTTTACACACTTCAAAAGACTGTCACAGAAATAATATGCAATGTCTTATGCGCTTACAAAAATGAAAATTAGCATAATGTATTAATGTTGATAACAAAATTATTTTATCTGGTACCAATCTAAGCTCTTTTTTCCTTAGATGTTAGATGTGCTTGCAAAGCAAGCCACATTTTCACACTGAAGGGTGTGTACGACATTAGTAATTTTATGTCAATTCCAAGAATTTTCAATCATCCCCCACCTCCCCCCCCAATCAAAAATACTTTTCTACCCCACTGTTGGAATAGGACCACTGAAGAAACGTTAGAATAGGTTTAGCCCACTGTATACATTAACGGTGTAACAAGGCATAATCATACGGATCACGCAGCCGATGAATAGGCCCTATCTGTGACTACCTGAAACAAGGAGTTAAAAAATAATAATTATTATTATTTAATAATTTGTATATCTCCTTCCCTAAAAGAAGGTTCTTTCAGTGTATCAACATCTATGAAACTGAATACCACGTACGATCATACGAATATAGGCCATAGGGCCGGGCTAAATTTTGGTTGGGCCTGTCAGACGTAGGTGCACATTTAATTGGAAAATGGCTCATCCTTTGTAATCCGTCCATTCTTGTATAGTGTAATACTTAAATTATTACTTTAAATTATTTCAGATAATACTTGCCTGAGAAATGACAGTTGGCTTGGTGATTATATCCATTGTGCTGCTACTATGTATGTATGTATGTATGTGTATGTATACCGTATATATAATATCAGTAGAAGATAGTGCGTATACCCATAACTTAAAACGTTGCCTCTATTTATCCTGCGTCATATGTTAGAAATACATCTGTACTTTCCCAAAAATATTAGTTACGCTCAGTGATGTGACAAAGATTATAACACCTGAGTAGGCCTACATAATAATAAATTCAAAACATGCTTTGGTAAAGATAACAATGTCACAGGTTTGAATGGTCTATGATAACACTATAATGAAACAAACTCACCACGGAATAGACTTGCTAAAATTATTTACAAAACAGTACTGTACTTGCATTGCCTGTAATACTGATTTATGTAGCTGTGTTAAAAATAAAATTTCCAAGAATAGTTAAAGCACAGAAATTGTCTAGATTCTAATTATAATATATAGTATTTACTTATATAAGTACGAGATACAAAGTACTTTCAAAACGATTTTGGACACAATCATCATCATCTTCCAGTACTGTGCAATACTTGCATTAATATAGCAGGCCCGTATGCAGGAAGGGGGGGGGTGATCCAGAGGGTGCAGACACACCCCACCCAACGACCCCACTACACAAAAAAACCAAAAGCTCCACTTTTATAAACCTGTTATTTCACAATTGTGCCTAATTATTGCGAAATGCTGTGTATGCATTCCATTGTATATTTGTCGCTCTTCTATTTTTTAATAACTGCGGTATGACATTTGTTGGAAATTGATCAGCTCCAGTGATTACAGATTGATCCATATGAACAATGTTATCTATAGGCCTACAGATGTAAAGGACATAAAATGTTACTACTGTACTTCAGGTCCCTAAAAATACCCAAATTAATGAAAATTTAAATAGAATATTCACGAATTATGGGTCTGAGAAATCAATTATATACAGTAAGACCCAGAAAATGCTACTTATCAGAGGTTCCGGGAGATTTTCCGCCAGACCCCCTCCAGGCTCCTTCCCATGGACCACCAAATTTAATGTCCACTCTTTAAAACCTATTATTTCACTAAAGTCGCTACCGTACTAATTATCACGAAATGCATTCCATTTGATTTGCCAGCTCTTCCAACCATTGATTTTTAAAAACTGTGTTACCAAATTTGTTGGAAATTATTAGCTACAGTGATTGCAGAATTATCCATTGTGAACAATTTTATTTGTAGGGGCCTACAGATGTAAAGGACATAAATACGTCATTTCTTCAGGTCCCTGCAACACCCAAAATGAAAATTTAAATAGAACATTCACAAATTATGGGATTTTAGAAACCCTATTATATAAGGCTCTCAAAATGCAATTGTCGAAGCGTCTGGGTATTTCTTCCCCAATCCCCAACTCGACCTTCAAATTTCAAAAGTCCATTTTTTTTTTATAGCCTCTTAATTCAGTAAAAACGTTCCTAAATGCATAGTATGCATACCGGTATTGTATTTTATTTGCCAGCTCTTCTAGCCGTTGATTTTTAATAGCTGCGGTACAAAATTTGTTGGACATTATCCCCTTCAGTGACATCATCACCTCCAGTGAATGCAGGTGGTTCAACTGTTAAATGTTATCTGTAGACCTACAGAAGTAAAGAACATAAAAATTACAACTTTAGGTCCCTAACAACACCGAAATAAATAAAAAATTTAAAAAATGAAATTCATTTACTGTATTCAAAATGCGAATTTGTCTGAGCTTCCAGATAACTAGGGGATTTCTATAATTTGGCCGAACACCTGTGTCACACTCAAAATGATGTGACTGAGTTAATTAGTCTTCTACTTACAAATCATTCACTTACCAGGCCCGTATCCGGGGTGGGGGGGGGGGGTTATGGTTCGGGCGAATCCCCCTTTTCTAGCGAACCCCCTCGAATTTTTGAATGAGTCCCACTCGGGCTGAATGTCTGTTTTTAACTTACCCAGCATTAAATCAAAATTTAGCACCTAATTCATTATTTGGTCACCCGTTTTTAAATTGTAGCCTGCGATACAAGCCTACATTCATAGAATATCTCAGCTTCAGAAGTTCGGAGATTTAAATTGAACGCAAGTCCGGCAAACCATGACTTTACGATAGCACACATAAGGATGGCAAACATCGATAAAAACTTTCACTGGCCTTTGGCTGAATGTTTGTATGAAATGTACCAACCGGTAACGAAACCGTTCTCCGTCTACCTAGAGTAAATGGCGCCACCAACGAAGATAAAGTTTTGCGACTTAATCCACCAAATGCAGCTAAAGTTTTGCGACTTAATTATTGTGGATTGTGTGGTTATCAAATTCCATAGTCATACTGTCCATAGCGCACACTAAACTATTTGCTGATGGAGCATTTTTTGGAAATTGACTCTACTTTTTGTCCATCCCAAACAACATATTATTAATAAATCAACATGGTCCATCTCAGTCATCATGCGAGTCACAAAATTAGGAAGTTTGTTGTAAACAGCAGACACACACAACAGAACAGAACGGAGTGCGTCAAAATCTAAAAAATACGTACTGGCATTTTGTAATACACATTCCCTTGTTGTACAGTATGACATATTTCATTAATATAACATACACCGAGGATCGCCAACGGATTGGGTGGGTATTCAAACTTTTACGATATGGTGAACTATTTCGATTAAAATGTTAAAGTGATTATATAAGAATTAGATGAGTCACTGTCAATAAAACAATTCGAGGAAGAGGAGTATTCAAAATATCGGTACTGTTAATATGGGACTAATCAGATGACTGCCGCCGTTCTCCATCGACAATTGATTTTATCTACAGTATATACACTAGAGAATATTTACACTCACAATTAAAAAAAAAAGTTACCAACAACGACATCTAAATAGCTGTGGGAAAAACAAATTATCAGCCTGCTGCTCTCTGCCTGAATAGTGATCATAACCGAACAATAATGATGCAGCAACACGCTTGGTCAACTTGTCAAAATTTAGAGCCTTCTGTTGTTTGCCCATAAAACAAATTTTGGAGTGTTATACAGTACAATTTCAAAACAATGTCATCGTAAAGAAACAGCTATAGTATTGAAAACAAACAACTTGAAACAAAATCGGTGTTACGAATTTAAATAAAAATTTACAATAGATTTTAATGGTCAACTTCTTGTCAAATTTTACGACCAATTTTTGCATACATTTGTGAGTGACGGTGTGTAATAGACATGCAAAACAAACATTAGCGGTTAGCTGTATAATATCTTTGAATATCATTTTAGACTGGTTCATTCATATGCTTAGTCATCTTGTAATCATTTAGAATTCAACAGTTTTTAATAATAGGGTCCGTATCTCTACACTTCTAGACGTAGTATCAAATTATAGTTGCCATAGACCCGGTTTCATACACACTCGCTTAAATAAATTTCAAAGGAAACTGTTTTCCCAATTTTTCTTATTGTTAAATACTCCTATGCAATACAGTAGTCCCCTGGTATAAAATTGACAGATCAGTTAGACACTCTGAAAGATCGATTAAACCCTTTTATATAATAAGGCCATGGGCCTAATGTGTGTGAAGTACTGACTTTGTTAATATCGAATGGGTGAAATTGCGCACAAACTTCAAATTGGCCTAACATACAATGCCAGAGGAAAGGATATCACGTTTTAGTCACGAGGATTTTCCACGGACGCACAGAGTAGGCCTTCGAATAGTATGGCCCAAAGCGAACGAGTTTCTGATCTCGAAATCCAGACATTTCGTTAAGGCTTATAAAGTACAAAATACTGTACAGTATATAATTCATTGAAAAAGTTTTAACATGAAGGACTTTTAAATGAAGTTTATGTATACATACTAATATTTTGCGAATCTTTGGTTTTTAAAAGCAATCTTGGGATTTTTTAGACCCAATCTTGAATTTTGATTTTTCCTAGTGGTCACGCTGCATTTAGAGACAGAATTATACCCCGACATCAAACTAGTGTAGGCCTAGGCTTAAGTACAGTAGGACGTCCATTGATTGGAATGAAAATAGACGCGCTGAATTTCGTTTGTTTTATGAAAGATAGTATTTATCGAACATTTATCTATATAAAAACAAGATTAATATTGTAGAAATTGTATTTCTAAAGATTCATATATAATTCATATTTATAAATGTGTTGAGTATATTGATATTGATTGTGCGATGAGGTTTTTTTTTTGTCTTTCCGTGTGATTAAAACATGCCAATTATCAGAAAATATTTTTCAATTTTATTATATTACCACCTTTTATTAAATAGATCTTTTTCAAAACATAACTGCTTTTATAACATTATATAGACTCATTAAACACAAAAAATGCTCTGGCTATTAGGCAGTCCCCTGGACCCCATGCCCAGAGAACCCCCCTTGAAATGACCTGGCTACGGGCCTGCTTACAACAACAAGTCAGTAGGGATTGAGACCGACTATAATTTAAAAATGATAAAATAATCCTTTTCTATTTCTATTTATTTTGTTAAACTGTCAAGGAAGCTCTGTTCCTTACACCATCTTCCACCGCCTTATTGACTTATGATTTTTCAGAGCTGGTACACCCAACAAAACAATACTTTTAGTGAAAATTTAGTTTCTTGCTGGTTCATCCGTTTCTGTTTTTTATTCCTTTTTGTAGCATCGGTATCAATGTTGATCTTGATATATATGCTACTAATGCTATCATTTCTTTTTTGTTTCAGACATATTCCATGCTTACCTAAAGTTGATTTGTTAATTATCTTTTTTTCATCATCATTATACTTATGCCTTTGATTTTTACATAGAATATACCTGGCGCTGATACAGACAGCTCCAGTTACACACTTCACACTTGTCAAAAGCATTATGTAATGACATTACAATAAAGAGTTTTAAAATAATACTGAAAATCATTGTTTTACCAGTCTAGGCTCAAATCAGATCTTTGACTTTGAAGCCCAAAGGCTTACATGCTTCAACAAAAGAACAACATGCTAAATATTGTTGAAAACTAGAAATTCGTGCGTTCATATTCATGCATAAATGTGCATTTACCCCTCCCAACTTATCATTCATTTCCCCTCAAAAATGTGCCTTATAATTGTTGTCAAATCAAAGCAGCTTAGCTCAGTCGGCTTAACCTTGGTTCTTGGTTAAATGCCAGTTTCAATAGTGCACCATATTTCGATGAATGTTTAAGTCGTTGGTCCTGTGTCCTATATGGCCTGACGTGTGCATGTTGAAGAACATTAAACACTCATTGGAAAATAGAACAGGAATATTTTTCGGTGAACTGCCCAATTCTCCACCAGAAGGACCTGACTGGAAGTAAATTTTCAGTGGTTTATTCTTGGTGTACTAGGCCTATTTCACACCGAATACAATCTAGACTCACTGATGGGTCATTCCTTTCAGATGGGTGATTCTGTTGGGTCATCCCAATAGTTCCTCTACTGGGTCATTCTGGTACTGTAAGTCATTTTAACCGTCCTTCCTGATGGGTCCTTCTGAGGCACTGGTTGCTGAAACAGGTTCTTACATTGTCCAACCGCCATCTACTCTGAACTCACTGCCTGTTATGAATGCAGACTGTAACAGATTGAGAGGTGTTAAACTATTTTCTAATTTCGTACAGTATATTGTGGTAAATTATTCATTTTAAATTTTCCATGCAGGCACAGGCTACACATATGTTGACAAACTATTTTAGTTGTATAATTACATACCTCATCAGATGCAAGGAACACACCCATATTAGCAACCTCCTCAGACTTGCCTAACCGTCCAATAGGTTGCCGTGCTGCAATATCCTTAAGAGCCTGAAATTAACATGTATAAAAAACAAACTATGTGGTACTGTATACATTTTTGTATGTGTTGAATGCCAATCAAATAGCAGGTGGATATGACAACCATGACATGAAAACATAATATACACCGGTGTTACTCATGAGACTAAGAGTTGAGGACAGCATGGATTGAACCCAGGACCAAAGAGTATAGAATTGCAAGAGGTTTGACTCTTCATATTTTGCAAGCATGCCATGAAACAAGTACTACCACAAGGTAGAGGGCGCCCTATTAGATTTTGAATGAAGTTTGAATCTGAACATGCATTTTTTTTTTAATGCAGCAAGCGTTCATACCAACTCTTTTTATGTTCTTTGGACGGACACCCTCTAATTCATGGTAGTAGTTCTCGAGATAGGATTGATTTTCAAAAAAACCCTCGAGAGTCAGACCTCCGGCAGTTCTATACTCTTTGCAAGGACCCTTAGATTGGAATGTAAGCATATTTAGGTCAGTCTTTTTATATATCGAACATTCACTTGGATGGTGAGGTGCAAGAACCCTGCCCATCAATAACCTCCCCCCATCCCATCCAGATCTACTGTACATGAAAGCATTTACTAAAAACACAAATATAACTTAATCATTATACAGTATATTGACTGCTGCAAAAGCCTGGATATTTTGGGTGTCCAAAATGACAATTTGCCAACTGAATAAGCCAAGTGGAAACCTCTTGATATTTATAACCTCCTTGGTAACAGTATATATTTTTTCAATATTTCTCTAAACAATGTTTTAAACAGGATTATTTTTTTTTATTTCTTTCACATCCAACAGAAAGTTACTCGCCAGAATAGACGATGCTTTCAAAACCAAGATTTGAACCCAGGATCCTGGCATTAGAAGGCAAGCATTTTATAAATCTATTCAACTCTCTATTCAACTCAAATTACCTTTTCTGGATCTGGACAAGAGTTGACGTAGGCTCTAATAGAAGGAGAGTCAATGGTTCCTGGGCATATAGTGTTACATCGTATCCCTTGATTTACATAATCAACTGCAATGGTCTTGCTAAAAGCTAACACAGCCCCTTTGGTTGAAGAATAGGCACAGCGATTCTGAACAGCTATGGGAATAATTAGGATGATACATTATTGAATAGATTTTCTACTGAGCACTAAATGAATACCAATTGTTTTATTAATTTACTTTCGTTTATTTTTTATTCCTGTTATTCTTCCATTTGCTAACATACTTGTTAATAAAATTATAAATATTTCTAATATCTTTATTATTATTATTATTATTACAAATGATTCTGACCTCATCCTGCTCTACATTTTAATCTCATACCTCTGATAGAACTTGACACTGAGGAGACGTTTATGATGCTACCACCTCCACTAGCTATCATCTGAAAATAATATTAATAGTTAGTATAATAATAATAATGATGATGATGTTAAAAATGATCTCATGATCAAAAGATGACAAGATGGAAAATGATGGCACAATGAAAAAAAAGATGGCATGACAGACAAAATTTGGGTGGATCCAGTAGGATGTCAGAACCACAATGCAAGGATAATGGATGAGTTAAATGAGGATGATCAGCCACATAGCATTGTACAGTAATACAGTAAATTAAAATATTATATGTTACTTAATTAATAACTACTGTAATTCCTCGGTATAAGCCCACCTTGGGCATAAGCCTGCCCCCCCCCCCACCCCTACTTTATGCCCAATTTAATGTACCAGCCTTTTCTCGGGCAAAATTCCAGGGTATGATTTGAGTAGCTTAGCTTGAGTTTTATAAATAATCTATAAAAAAAAAACCAAACAATTATTGGCTTTTAATTATGCAGTAAGTGCTGAAAAATTGCCTTTTGATTGCAAAGGGGATTCCCTGGGTATAACCCCCACCCTGCAAAATCGACCCAATTTTGTGTTCAAGTGTGTGGGCTTAAACCAGGGGAACCAGTAAGATATATTCACCTTTGGCATGAATTCCTTACACATCCTAAACATTGATTTGATATTGATGTCAAATGTCTTGTCCCACATTTCCTCACTGAGGTCAAGTATTGGAACACGATAAACAATACTGCAAGTGAAACAACATCCAATTAAAATGGATATAATATAAATGCTTGCCGGTGTGTCAATATAAAGAAATAGTCTCTTCAGTTTGCTCTGAAAAACAGCATCAGTATAACAAGAGTGTAAATAAAAATAGTGGCAAAGACAAGCCAAACCAGTCACTCGTCACAAATCATGTTTCAGAGATAATGGCCAAAAAACAGGTTGTATGCTGAAATGTCAAAATTTTTGAAATCTATTTTAAAAGTTCAAATTTCCTCAAGATGCTCAGCAGCAATGGTTGCTGTGGGCTATGGCTTTACTGCAGCAATTTATTTTTCTTCTACAGCAATAAGCTTTGTAAATTGTTTTAAGAATACCATAGGCCTATTTTGTAAATTAAGTGTATAATCCACTGCTGGGTCAGGGGACTCAACTTCAGCAAAAAGCTTGCTGTTGAGCCTGGGATTTTTCAACAGCAGTGGAATTCCCTTTCTGCAGCAGTTGCTGTTGGTACTGTGGGGCCCAGAAATTCGAACCCTGATTTTATTGTACTAAACTAACCTTTATATATCTATACATCATGATATGCTGTTATTTTCCCCATTTTCAATGTTAAAACAACCATTTTTAACAATTTGGTAATGGTTTCTGCCTGAGAAATTCCCGAAATCATAAACTTTGAAGGCTGATTTCTCAAATATTGTTCTTTAAACATCTGTATGTTTAAACACTTGTAACTTCATAAGGAAATATCAGATTTAAATGATTCTTTTACCATTTTATAGCTCTCATAACTAAAAATCAATTTTTGTGAAGAGTGACTGGTTTGGCTTGTCTTTGCCTCAATTACTGATTACAGTAGAATGTCAAATACTTTTCTCAGAAGTTTAATATGCATCCTAAAGCTTGGTCCATACTATCAAATTTTATGTGACAAATAAATGTGATATGCCCATGTAATATGACATCATCATGTCCATAAATGAGCACAACAAATTTGTCACATAAAATCCTATAGTGTGAATAGGGCTTAACACATATTTAACAAGAGTGGGCTTGCGGTGATCTTGACCTTTGACTTTTTGAGCCCAAAATTTAATCACTTCTCCCTAAGACTAAAGTACAGCTCCAATAAATATTACTATGACCTATTCATTAGTTTTCTCATCCTGACTGACAAACAGACAAACACACACACACACACAGACAACACCATAGCATAGGTAATAAATTTCAAGTTTACATACGCTGCACAGTTGAACAAGATATCAACTTTGTCGACCTTCTTGGAAAGGGCCAGAATGTCCTGATTGTTTGTAACATCTAATTTGTGTACTTCTATTTCTTAAAAATAAAAAAAAACAAGAACTGAAATAATAAAATATTTCAATATATAAATCATGTTCATGAATAATGGCCATACAAACAGGGGCAGTGGGTGCACATCATTTTCAGAATAGATAATTGAGTAGCGCTAATTTTAATATATGCATTGAAATATAAAAATTTAGTGGCAAAACGGGGAGGGGGAGAGCAGGTGCTCCGTTCCCCTATTGAAACCGCACCAGACAAATACTTGTACGTTTCAGGCAGACGAAATGGTTCAAATTTAAGTTGGCTTACATTTCAATGACTTATGCTTTCCAGTTGTTTAATGTGTCTGTGACCATCTTGTTCCTGAAGTGTACAGTATGTTACTTTTGTGATGTTCAGGTGTTCAGACAATTTGGACTTAAATGTGATATACTGTATTAGAATTTATGGTATAACAATAATATAGATTAAAAAATCTTTGAAAATAACCTTTGTTTGTTTTAAATTTTAAATGAGCTTTTTAATATTTTTATTTTGAGCCCTTACATTGGTTTATTAGGCTTGTTTATCTTTGTGTATTTTCTGTTTAGAATTAAAAGTTAACAGGTTATTTGTTTGTTTTAACTGACCTATACATTATTTCAAATGAATCATTAAATTATACAAATGTTCTTCTTTATATAATTTCTGTGATGTGTCATTGAATGAAATTAAATTTTAAACTGCCTAGGCTTCTTGTAAATATTTTATGTTTATCATTAAAAGTTAATAACTTATTTGTTAGCCTTCAATGAGCTTTTCAATATCTCAATTTAATTGTTGAGGGTTTTTTGATGGTATATCTATAACTGTTAACAGGTCACCAGATACAATATCAGTTATAAAAAGTGGAACTATCAAACAGAGTTTATACTTTATGGACAGTATGCATAGTGAAATCATTTTATAACAACGCTGATGAAAATTTTAAAACCTACTGCTGTCTCCTCTGAGTTCGTTTAACTTGTCCATGTCAATGTCCGATGCATAAACAGTTGCTCCTTCCCTTGCAAATGCCTGCAACACAGTAGAGTGTCAGAAGAATATTGTCTGTCTCTTATACACATCTAGATGTGTATAAGAGACAGGTCTCAGGCAGGGGGAAGAGCAAGGCCTAGGCTAAGGACTGCCTTCCTTTAGGTATACTTGTCTAGGCTAGGCCCTCTACCTCTACTAATGTAGAGGCTACTGGATGGTGAGTGCATGCTAAGCCTAGGCTAGGCTTTTATAATAAATAAAAATTCACGTAGTAAGTACACAGTAGAGAAAGCTAGGCCCAGCCTACCTACCTGCGCAGTTGCACGACCGATGCCGTTGGCCGCTGCGGTCACGATTGCTATCTTACCAGCTAATCGATTCATTTTTTTAGATTATTCCTCCTGTCTTCCGTTTTATAATAAACCTGAATAAACCAATTGAATAAACCCGGTAAATAAAGTTCATTCTTACTTCGCACTCACACTGCGGTATACCTTAGGCCAATCAGCATCGAGGGCTGTGTGAGTGTAGACTTGACACAATATCCTTAGCATACATAACAGGGATAGTAGCAACAACATGCTTCGTCATTGGATGGTCAGACTCCATGGTGATGGATATTCATAAGGTAAAGATGCGTAAGGTCCTGTATTAAGTTTATCTAGACCATGCATTGTTGGCACCTTATTTATTAGAAACCTTTTGGACGAGCATTAACATGAGGAATGTTTTAGTACGTGTAACATAGATAAAATCAATCACAGTGTAGGCCTATATTTATTAAACTGATGTGAAGGGGTGGGGGAAGGAGAGTTGATGATAATGTAGGAGGAGCTGGCAAAATGGTGTGATGTGATTTTGAAGTTGAGTTGGCTTTAAACATTTTTAATGGGGTGGAGTGGGGCGACTGGGGAGCACAAGCCTTTTTTATGGATAGAGCTACCCCCCCCCCCCCCCCCCTCAATGCAACCGATACTGACTTATCTTTTACAGTTATTTTCAAAAGTCATTGATTTCTGTAAAAAATGTAGAATTATAACGAGTGGATAACAGTTTGTTTTCATTAATATATTCATTTTCTTCAGCAGTTGTGCAAGTTTTACCTATTATGGTCTATTGCAGTAATAATGATTTTCCCACCCAGTTTTCCCAAGGCAATATGTGTATTCAGGGTTAGAGGGAAATTCACCTACCAACAGCTGATGATACAGACATGCAAAAGGATATATAATAATATATTATTCCTTGTCGTATGTCTATCTTGTGCCGCCACCTTCAAATATTCTGACAATTTATTCTTGTTTAAAAACATATTATTTTTCAGAGAAAATCACAGGTACGTTAAAGGACAAATATTGGAATTGAGTTCTCGAATTGAACATTGACCTCGGCACGTTTTTATAGATTAAATAAACATAATAGAATCAGTCGCAAGTTTCCATTCCATTCAAAAAAAAAACTTCACCATAAAGGCTTTGATTGCTCGTTTTGTGTTCAACGTGAATGTGAGAGTCCATGGCCAGGATTCGGAAAACAACATGTAGTTAGAAATTTAATCTACAGTGTAATTTAATTCCTTGATAGGTCTACTTTGTCACAAAAATACCCTATTTGAACAATGGTGGCTTCAGAAATTTGCCGACGAGGGGCCTGACATGTCCGACCGTGGGCCGAACAAAGGGCAAAGGACTACTAGACTATCATCGATCAGGGTACCGGAATAGGAAATTTTCATTTATTTTTTTTGCTTTTAAGACCACAATATTAGAGACTGACGTTTAAAATAACGTTTTGGATAGGCAAATTGATATCTTTGGATCCCCACCCCACCACCCCCACCCCACACAAGTGGCGTATCTAGAAGTCTTTAAATGGGGGTGCTGATGTGGGGAGCGAAGGTGAAGGGGCTCGACGATCAGTTCAGGGGCGCTAACTCGCAAAATAAAGTGATTTTAGGTGATTTTTACTACTTACAAGTGATTTTTGGGTGGGGCCCCCCGCGCACCTTCCTAGATAGATGTGTATAAGAGACAGCCACGGAGGAAGGCCTAGTGTCTCTGCTGGAGCCAAGACTGTCTTTGGACCCAAGAGAAAATAGGAACAGGTGAGAAAAGGTGACAGTACACAAATACTTGCCTTAATGCTTTACTCTTTATTGTAAATTTGTTAGGCTAGAACCTACCTCTCCTTCCCAACTCCTCACACGCCCTTCATTAATTGAATGGTTCAGCCTTATGACCATAAAAACATACAAAGCTTTTTTCTAACAATATTTCAACAAATATTGAGAAAATTCTATAGTGAAAGGAACTCCAAAGACGATCCTCTGAGACGTAACATGTACACATAAAAAAAACACAGTAGTTTAAAACAATTCTTTTCAGAACTATCGTGGCTGGGATGGTATAGATCCTCCATCTGTGAAAGTACCTCTCGGGCCACCTGTATTTTGGTTTCCTGGATGCGCCACTGGAAATTAAGTCATATTACAGTATAGCTTGATGCCTATGAAAAAAACTAATAAAATTCACAAAATTTCGTCAAATACCCCTATCGGGGGCGCTTGGCGTCCCCCTGGCCCCCAGCGTAGATGCTCACTTCGATCGTATACTGGACCTTATGAAATGCCCCCCGCCCCCAACTTTGAAAAACATCCCGCCGCCAATGGGGTGTACATAAGATACAAACATTTAAATCTAGAGTATATGTAGGCCTATTGTATCAAACACATTTATTGTAAATAATAATAATAATGAAATGAATAATAGTTTGTATTTTACGGCTATCATCGTCGCGGTATTGTAGTCAAGATTGATTAGCGGGCCACAAAAACAAGATTGATTGGCAGGCCAATGCGGACATGAGCTTCTATTCCGACACAAGGCGATCTTAATCCCTTCTCTTTCTCCACTTTCGAGGGCACCTTGAACAAAACCATTATCTTCACTGGTATATTCTCCGGCAAAAAAGACATTATTTACCCGTGATTGCATCTTTACGAAGCATTCCTGCTCCATTTCGGGTGGCCAAATAGAATATGCTCCTAAAGTCAGGGGGTTTCGCGACCAACCAGATACGAATATATCCGTTGCGTTTGGTGTATCCTCGCCAAATATTTCACGTAGCACAGTTTCGATTTCGGCTTTTATGGCTTCATCTGCCAGAGCTTCAACTCGTAGAGACTCTGCACCAGTAAGTTCTGCCATTAAAATATTTGTTCCGACTGGAAACAAACCTATGAAAAGAGAAGTTGAAAAGTGGGCATACCATAATTGAAGTTAGAAAAACAATGACGTTTAGAAAAACAATGTTTACAATATTTCATTACAGAATCCGGTATAATTACGCAAAACGGTAACCCTTATTGTCAATTACTTATACCATTAACAGTATAGGTTAATATTAGTATTAACAGAAAAAAATATTAATAATATTATTAACAACAACAATAATAACTCCTCGAGGTATTAATCATTAACTAGGAAATTATGCCTCTACTATTACAAAAAGGCGAACTAATAGTACAAAAACCAACCTGTCCAGAATTTTGAAAACAAATCGGGTAAAAAGGGGATTTAATTCGAAAGAAAACTAAAATTAAATAAATTATGTTTAGTAGGCTTATATGATTGTCTCTTTTATTTGAGTCCAAAATGGCTGTTGTGGTAGCATTAGTTAAATACACACAATAACGAAAATAAGAATAATTAATAATAATGATATAAAGCCTATAAAATAATAACTTACCCTTTGCTTCTAAATTTGTAAATATAGGATACCGTCCCCTGTGGTTGCTGGGACGTAATAATATTTCACGGTCTCCCCAGAAATTTATAGGAAATTTAAGGTATATTTTACTGTAAGACGCCATGCGAAATCGGTTAATAGTTCTGATTTTCCAATCAGGAAGATCTGGTATAAATTCAATTCCATTGTTTTGGAGTATGGCGCAACTGACAGTAACCAGGACTCGTGACGCTTTGAAAATCTCGCCGTTGTCACAAGTAACCACGACGACATCACCAGACGATTGGTCAATGGTTGCCACTTTCTTGTTCAAGATAATGTTCTTCCTTAAAGGAAAAAGTTAACAAAACAAATATATCATCGAAAACGAAGATTGCATTACAATAAAGAGACTTACCGTAGACTTTCAAGGTTTTTTTTTTCTTTGCAAACAGTTTTTTTTTTTTTTGGCGAACTTTGATGTGCTTCTTTTTGAGATGGGCTTCTTTTCGAGGCTACTTTTGCAAAGTACAGAAGGGGCCTATTTTAAAATGAATGCTGTAAATTTTGGGAATTACTAGAAAACAATATATATGGCCACTGTAACATCAATTTGTGTTATGTATGTACCGGATATTGTTTTACCATCTCGAAAAAATACACAATGCTATATGCCTATTGAAAAGAAGCCCATGGGTTTCCATCCGAGGTAACTTTTGCAAACTAAAGAGGTGGCTTCAATTTGAGATAGGTTTGTTCTTGAGATTAAGCCCATTAGGCTTCTATTCAATGTTTTACGGTATATCCAAGAGGAATTTTAGCATGCGTCGTAGTTTTGACAAAAGAAATAAGTGGAGGCGTTTGTGGATGTCGGGTGGTCTGCCGGTGACATCGCCCCACCCCACACGGACACATGAGGTTGTAATTTTGATAGGCATATATAAATATATATATGCCATATATATATAAGCTACCTACCTCAATTTCTCATCGCTTAAAAATGGCATTGTGGCATTAAAAATGTATTTGTATCCACGCTGATCGATAATTAACGTTGGCTTCTTGTCATCGGGGACACGTTTGTTGAATTCATCTTTCACCAAGGCATTGGACTTCAACGATGCAAACTTGAAGAAACGAAAACATTTTTTTTTTATGTATTATGTCATTTCACTCATAATTACCATTACAATCTTCGTCATAATTGTCGTCGAGTCGTCATTATCATCGTCGTCCTCACCATATCCATCGAAATGAATCGTGGATTGTTGAAGTTTTAGATCTCAGGAATATGCATATCACTATTTCGTATGATTTTGTAACGTGTAAGAAAAAAATACACTGCATGTTTTGAATATTGTAAGGACTTCCGGAGCCGATTCACAATATGCCGGGGTTACCATTCCTGATAATAGCCTATATTAATTTTCAACGAAATAACGCAGCAGATGATGCTCGTTGTGTTAATTTCTGACAACCGAACCACAACGTTCAGAACGTATGGTCGCCGCAATAATAATGTTTGCTGGTCAGATCTCCTCGGTACCTAATCAGTAATATTACGGATCAATATAGGCCTATGTTGTGCTAATGCCAAAATCCAGCACTTTTTGTCACAAATATATTTTTATTTCCCAACAACTAACCTCCGGTGCGTCTCCGTTTTCGAAGTCAAGCGTAGCCCATTCGATTGTTTGTTGAATATCTGTCTTGGGATGCCACCGTACGGATCGAAGTCCATCTCTCACTGACATGTCCGGATCATGTAACGCATTTAAATCATCGGCTATAGACATGGCACTGTACATTTTTTCTACAGTCTGCAAAATAAAGTTCAAAAAATAGTTAATAACTACCCGTATGTATTTTTTAACGAGATGGAAAAAAATTTATATCGTATAAGGCCTCATCAATATTACTATTATTTATGTTAGCCTTATGCCTATAATGGAAAATAAATTTTATGAAAGCATTATGACAATAAAGTTAAATCTGAAACTAAATCTATTATAACCTTATACTTATATTATTCGCTTTGTCTTTAATTCAAGGTTACGTTTCACAGGAGTGCACGATGGGAAATTCCGGAATCAGACGAACATACTTTTGCTCGCACTGTCCGTCTGCTCGAGGCATATATTATCTAATTTTAGTTTTTTACTAGATCTTTTCTTCGTCGTTAGCGTCCTTGTACAATTTGTACTTTTATTTCATGTGTTTTCGACCTCTTTAAAATGCATACAGATCTATGAGATTGTTTATAATTATTCGAAATAAACCTCTAATTCAACGTCATGCACTGTTTCATTCGATTTTGTATTAACAGGGAGTTGGTATTAATTATAGCCTTCAGCACGCATAATTAAAATACGATACCGGTAAGTGTCCGAATAAACGCGGGTAATCATTATTACGGACCCATTAATTTAATATAATAGTTCACTACATTTGCATAGTATTTTTTATTAATGTAGTCTAATAGAAATGATCCTTAAAGAGAAGGCTGTATATCACCTGATTCCACACAGGAAGAGCTTCTGCCGTAACATTGTGACCTGTGCTGTTGTAAACAACCATAGAAAACCAGTTACTTTGGTGAGTTTTCATGCCTAGCTTCCATACCATCTTCTGCACACTTCCACCAACTGGCTGGGCCCAGTTCGCACCTCTTTCTACACGTATCCCTCCAAACTCAACATCATGTACCCGTCCTCCAATGTAATTCGCAGCTTCAAGGATCAAGAAATCCTCAACCCCGTTGTCCACAAGAGTCTGAGCTGCTTTTAATCCCGACGCCCCAGCTCCGATTATCAAAACAGAAATTGGCTCATCCGTAGTAGTAGTAGGGTTACTGGGTCTATATGATACGTCCTCTTTTCCATATGTTGTTTGTGTTGTCAGAAGAACGAACAGAAAACGTAGAGAGCTCGACCACATTACAGTATTTGGTTATGCCTCTGAGACTTGAATTACCGCCTGTACATTATGAAACCGAATACCTTACCACCGCAAGCAATAACAATAGTAGGAAGTCACCTGAATTCGTAACAATATCATGACCTTGCGAACGGAAATTCTTTGCTTGTAGACACTCATTTTTTACTGCCACAGTACAGTACTGTATATAATCGTGTACAGTAATTATGGTACTGTCACTGCCTCCGTACTTCATTAGTACAGAAAGTATAAAGTAAAAAACAGCAGCACTTTTGAGACTAACAATATATAATACAATTGTACAGTCTCCTGATGAAGTCCACTGTGTGGACGAAAGCTAGAAAATAAATTATATATTGTTAGTCTCAAAAGTGCTGCTGTTTTTTACTTTATACTTTCTATACTGTACAGACCAACGCGGCTATACTTTTTATTCTTCATTAGTACATTACATCAAACACAACTATAAACATTTCTGTACAATGAGAGCGTCAACTCAGCGGCCTGTACGTTCGCATCATTACGGAAACAGGCCGAGGTAAACGTCCTTTTATCTGTATGTATATATATATGTATGTGTATATACATATGTATATATACACATGTATATATATTTATATATATATATATTTATATATACATAGTGAGAGTGTGTGTGTATATATTTGTGTATATGTGTGTATATATGTGTATATGTGTGTATATATATGTATATATATATATGTATGTATATATGTAGGGGTGTATGTATGTATACATATACATATATATAATCAAAGTAAGGTAAATACAGTGTTGTAATAAAGGACTTAATAATGCATCGTGGAACATAGTCCTCAACGAATGCAGTCCTGTAAAAATAAACAAATAAAGAAATTGTGTAATAAAATGCCTCTGGCGGGACTCGAACCTGCGACCTCTCGCTGTCAAGGCGAGTGTCATAACCACTAGACCACGGAGGCTTCATGGTTGAACAGGTTCAAATACCACCAGATACACTCTATTACACAATAGGTACGACTAGAAACAAATAAGTGCATATAATATAAATTAAGATAGTCGTTAACACTGTTAAATCATATATATGATTTAACAGTGTTAACGACTATCTTAATTTATATTATATGCACTTATATACATATATATGTATATATATGTATATAGGATTATATATATATATATATGTGTATATATACATATGTATATATATGTGTATATATATATGTATATATGTATATATATATGTATGTATATATGTTTATATATATGTATATATGTGTATATATGTGTGTGTATATATATGTATATATGCGTGTATATGTATATTTTTTGTGTACAGTATATGTATATATATATATATATATATATGTATATGTATGTATATATGTATGCGTGTATATATGTATACGTGTATGGTGTACATGTATATACATATGTATATATATACATGTATATTAACATATATATATACATATATGAATTGATAGTATTTATATATAGGCCCACATTAATGAACATTTTAATTAAAAATTGTTTATAATGTTAAAGTAATCAATTATACATGCAGTAACTCCGGCGGTTCAGTGAAACGGGGGAACTACATGTGGTTTTAAAGCCCCGGGACAAAATTCTCTGGTGGGGTTCAAATTGCAAATTTTAGACCACTTATTAGGGATTGGCATCACAATAACTTTTGGATTGGACCAGAAAATTAATATTTCAGTTCGACGATCACCTCGTCGTGGTTCGGTGGCGTACGACGGGTGGGGGTCTCCATGCTTTTTCGGACGGGGAGAGGATACTGATTTTCTCGCACGTCACTCACAAAATCAATAATTCCAGTGCGATGCAAAGCAACAATTATTATATTAGATTAAATAGCTAATTCGAAACATTCCATTGATACATTACAATCATAATGTTTTACATGTTTATTCAGAACCGTAAATTGTTTTTTCCCTTGGGGCGTTTTAGTCCCTGGACCTTAATCGATCACTTTGGAATCCCCTGCTCCTAATCGGTCGTAACTTAATTATTGCTCGAGACGTTGTATTGACAAGGATACAAATGTTTTGAAGCGGTCTTTGGCAACATCAGAACCGTGGGTCTCCTCTGTCTTCCTATAAAGACCTCATTGATCGCGTCGCTCTCATGAAGTATTTTACTGTTATAATACTAAATATACAAACCACTCAAATTAGTCTATTATATCTAATCAAAACTGCTGATATTTCCCTGGTATTTGTCCTTGCCCCCTGATGTGGGCCGCTGTAGGACCTGGGATACACCCTATAGTAGAAACGTAGGCCTAATTCTAACATTATGCTCCATCCCGCATTGTTTATTATTGTATCTAAATGTTACCGTATATATACTCGCGTATAAGACGAGGCTTAAAATAGTAAGTTACGATCGGAAAACAGTGGGTCGTCTTATATGTGCGACAGATAACTCGTCCAAAAAACATCGTTATCATTCTTATTATAAACTTAGGATAAATTAAGGCCATAATTGTGTTTTACTTTTTATATTTTCGAAAGTGGGCGTGGTGAGGGGCGGGGGGGGGGGCGAGCGCCCACTTCGCCCACTGCTGGATCCGCCCCTGATGTCATGTGTAAATTGTGAACTCAAGCGGTAATGTAGTACGTACCGTCCCGATACAAGGAATGACACCGGGACCGTATTGATAATAAATAATCGGTACGATGAATTTTCATTTGAAACATCTTACTTGAATCTATCATACTGTGTATGATGGTGGTGATCAGGCATACATATTTCGAAAAATACAAAAACAACGGTGTGATTAATCCTGGTGCTTTCTAAGACGGGGTCGACGATAAGGTAAATAAAACTCGAAAAAAAAAAACTGTTCCAAAGGCATGTTTGCATACATTTTATATCATTTGAAACATCTTACTGTACTTGAATCTATTATACTGTGTATGATGATGGTGATCAGGCATACATGTACTCCAATGAAACTGTTTGTCATCTTGATACCTTCCGACGAAAATTGACCCTACCGGCGTCACCACGGCGTCCCCATTGATCGATCTAACGTGATGTTGTTATGTGGGTGTTTTATAGATTATTGAGAATGGTAATATCACCGAAAGAATAGATAAAATGACAGTTGAATGAGCAACAAAGACAACTGAAGACAATAGTTCGTCATTAGAAGTTATTTAGTACTGTATAACTTTATTCGGAAAGGTGAAGTGGGGCTCGATGAACAGTTGAGGGGCTCTAATTGAGGGGGAAATAGTTGATAGTAAATCAGGCCCGTACGCAAATTTTTTATTGGGTGGGTGCGAATTTTTAGAGTTTGGACCAAAATTGGAGGGGGGCGCTTAGGGGGTGGGCGATCCTACTGGGATCATACAAATTTAATATCATTTTCTTTTTTCCAAATTTTTTTATTTTATTTTATTTTTTATTTTTTAAAATTGAGGGGAACTAGATTCAGTTGGCCTTCTTGTCAGTGGCGGATTTATGAATTAGATATAGAGGGGGGAAAAGGGAAGGAATTTACCGTTTGAAAGTCCATGACACCTCAGTCGCACCATGGTTGGGCCTGAGGTAAGAAAATTTATGATTATGGCACCTCTATATGGCCGGAAATGGGGTGGGGGTGGCGCTTTGGGGAACCCTGCTGCTGGGATCGAGGTGGTGGAGCTCAGTCATTTTTGATAATTTGAGGTCATATTTAATCGTTTTCTGAAGATGCATTAGTGGCGGATCTACGCATTTTATGAGAGGCTAGGGAGGGACTTCATAGATGGAGGAAATACCACGGTCAGTAGCGGATTTAGAAATTTGATATAGAAAAGGGGGGGGGGGGAGAGGGAATGATTTTACAGATTGAGAGCAATGCAGTAGCCAGCTATTGGGACAGTCCCACATTTAAAAATTTGTGGGGGCTAGTGCGCACCCGCCGCACTCCCCCCCCCCACCTTCTTGTGTATGGGCCTCTTCAGATTTGCATTCTTAACCTGTGTGGTGATTTTCTGAGCCCAATATATAGCAGGTTTACAGGGCCTAGGCCCTATTATCTCTTTTGTGAATAGGCCTATTTATAAGCTTAATGTTTTCTTGAGTCATACTTGTAGGAATAGGATATCATGTAAGGTCAAACTCTTCCAACAAAATTTGTTTATTATGGGAGGGTCCGTCATAAACATTCCCCTCACTCCCTCACATCCGCAACCAATTCGACCATGAAGGGAATCTTTTTAGGCCCGCTGTGTGAACATTTGGTACAACATATGACGAAAGCATTGTCTTAACATGTCGGTGATGATAATTATTTATAT